TGTATATACTTTTTAAAGAAACTGGCTGTGTATACTTTTTTACACCTTCGGGAGTAATTTAAATGTTTACTTTGCCAAATTACACCTAATGACACGTCAAACTATTTCTCTATACTAATACTTTTTTTTTGTCTAAAACTTAAGTGTTTCCTTTGTTCCCTTCTATATGAAAAATTAGTCACATGCCAATAAACATTGTTTGCCTTATCTTCCTCCCTACAAAAATTTGAATGGCAAGCAACATTGATCATTTTAAGCTAATACAAATAGCTCATCTGTTTCCTTTCCTATTTGAGCAGAGTTCCACACTACTTTCGGCTGTGGTGGTGTGATGCACCATGGAGTCAGTTCTGACTCCTAGCGACCCTGCATAGGGTTCCCGAGGCTGTAAATCTTTACAGGACCAGAATGCCTCATCTTTCTCCCACGGAATGACTGGTAGTTTCCAACTGCTGATCTTGGTTAGCAACCCAACTCCAACCCAACTCGTAACCACTATGCTATCAGAGCATTCAATTGTCTACAGCTTCTAAATTAAAACACGTTTGTGTACTGTACACAAATAAAACTGACAGTGCAAGTTTTTGTTAAGAACTAAGGCAATTCTGTGCCAAAACAAAGATCTGCTTTGATTTTTTTCATGTTTATTTCCTTCATTTTCCATCACTAAACCATATACTTGCCTTTTAGAAAGAAAATATTATGTATGGTTGTCTCCTGGTTACAAATATGTAACTTATGGACAAGTCCTACTAATCTTTTCTTTAAAATAGGGCTTTGAATCTGACTTGCCATGGCGAACAAACCCTTTACTATTTGGGTGATTCTCAAAGTAACCGGAACTGGATTTATGAGTTGAAACTATGGAATGGGAAACTTGGAGTGTAATGAGGCCTTTCAGGAGCCTAATGCATGAAATTGGATTATTGGCAGGATCTGAAAAGCTTCATGCATTCAAAGCAGCACAGTTGGCTGCCATCTTTGAGTAGGGAGTTACTTTCTTTGAGCGGGGCAGCACTATTTCAAAACTCTGCTTTAATGTAATCTGCCCTCCCTCTGAGCAGATTGAAACTATTCGTGTTTGAAACAAATTCTTCAGTATAGTCACCTTCACTTGCTTCACTGCCATCTTTAGACTAATCATTGGAAAGTCTTCAAGCCTTTTCTTGTAGTGTAACACCAGGCTTCTCAGTAACAACTGCACACACCTGTTCCAGCTGAACCATAAATTGAAGATGCAGGAACAGAGCTCATTTGTAACCCAGGGACTGCAGCATGTTCTGCAATTGTTACTATAGTTTATGCTACTCAATTTTACTTTGGAGACCTTTCCATAAATGTTTTCCTTTTAAACAGACAAATTATTTAGAAACTCACAGAACATCAGTGTTTTCATATTTGGTGCCAAAAGTGGCAATGTGGTATTTTTGCATAGGTTTAAAAAAAAAAAAGAAATGAGTTATTTTGTAATTCATTTGTTATCTGCAGGATTTTTATATTGAGACTGAATATGACATAGTATCCCTCTTCTCCTAAAAAGGGAATGTTTATGAGCAATTTCTTATTAACAAAAGTGCCTGTGCAAAAATCCTAATTACTTCTTCCTTTCTCAGAATTCCATCATCCCTGGTCCCCCCTTCCTCTTTGGAGCCTGTTCGGTGCTGCTGGCTCTGCTGGTTGCCTTGTTTATTCCGGAACATACCAACTTAAGCTTAAGGTCCAGCAGTTGGAAAAAGCACTGTGGCAGTCACAGCCATCCTCATAGTACTCAAGCCCCAGGAGAGGCCAAAGAACCTTTGCTCCAGGACACAAATGTGTGACGGCAGAAATCAGGAAGATTTTTCTATCAGCACCCAGGTCTTAGTGTTTACCTGTAGTTCTGGATGTACATTCCATTTCCATCCACAGTGTACATTAAGACTGTCTTAAGAAATGTATCTGCATGAACTTCGTGGGAACTAAAGAAAAGAACAGGACAGTTTTCCAAAGATGTTACAATTTCTTTTAAAAAGAAACCTTTTGTTTATTAGCACCAATTTCTTGCCACTAAGCTGTTTGTTTTATTATACATCTTTTAATTAAAAACTATATATGTAACTTCTTAGCATATGTCTCTGCTACCATTTTCTTAAGGTGTTGAGCTTTAACTCAAAGCTGAGTCTCAGTGAGACAGAGTAGTTAGTACGGTTGTGGACTTGTTTTAACATTGTAAAATCTTGTTCAGATTTTAATATTGTAAAATCTTGGGTCAAATAATTCAAAGCCTTAATGCAGATGCACTAAAGAAAAGAAATGGTAAATTAATTGTTTGCATTAAAAAAAACCTTTTAAGAAAATTGTACTAAATCGGAATCATGTTTCAAGCTCATTTGCAGTAATTTTATTTTCACATTATTCACTACTGTTTTGGATTTGAGAAAAAAATACCATCTTTAGAATTTAAATTGGGGAGTTTAGAGCCTGTGAATCTAACTGCTGGCTCCTATTTATTCCCCAACTATTTCTTACACCACTATTCTTTTAATGTTTGCATAATCATAAGAACCTCAACACTTGAAAACATAATCTAAAAATTATATAGTAAAGCTGGTAGCCTTGAAAATGTCAATGTGATATCTACATGTAGATAAATATATATAGTGGCCTTTCAGGACTGGCACAGTAACACTTTATTTACAGAGCTAATGTTTGTCCTAAATTTCAGGACCCTAGAAGAGAGCTTTATACAATTACTGATGTGAATTTCTCTAAAGTGTATATTTTTGTGTCCAGTTATATTATTTAAAAAAGTGTTACTTTGTAAAAATTGTACATAAAGTATTGTATAGTTTACAATGTTTTCACCTTGTGTGTGGTTATTGCTTAATGCTTTTTAAACTTGGGACATTCACTATGGTTAAATAAGGTCTTAAAACAATGTAAATATTCTGTTAATAAAAATTAAATATTTTAATGATTTTTTTTTTTTTCAGAATTGATCTGTGATTTCCTACAAGTAACAAAAGTGCTTAATACCTTCTCCCTTTAAACCCATTTCTTTCCCCTAATATAAAATATTCTTGTAGGAAGTGGAAATAAATGAAAACTTAGTACTTAACTGGAAGAACTTTAAGAGTATGGATGTTGTGGATCTATTTGTTTTTATATTTTAAAGACTTTCTATGTCATACTCCCAAAGCAATTTTTAAAAGTTTATTAACACAGTTCACACAGTTTTCAGAAATACATTAAATGTAATATTTTGATTATTAACACATATACAATTTTACACTGCAAAACAATTTCAACAGTTTTTTTAAGAGGTAGAGCAAAGAATTATCACTCAGAATTCTGTATATACACATTTAATATAAGAAATATTGATAGCAAGTTGATAACAAAACAATCCTCTATGCTACCTTGGAAATTCAAACTTTTCCAGGTGTTAATACAGAAAGTAATGTTTAAAGAAAAATGAAGAGCTACCTTTATGTCACATTCCCCATCTTTTAACCCTGCCACAATGTTTTTATATATATATATATATATATTAACATAGTATTTACAACAAAACAGATTCTAGTATCACCAACAGGCTTCTTTGCAGATTTTTAATCAGTGCTTTGAAGTTATTGTAACCCAATATTCTTACTAATATAGTATATCTGAAATGAGGCAAAAAATGTATATAAAAAACCACTGCCGATTAGTTACTGATTTATTTTAGAATTAATCCCTTGTTTAAGGCAGCTTGAAATTCTAGAAGACTCAAAATAATGGTTTTATAAAAAATTTAAAAAAATTAGCAAAGATTCTTTTTCTTATCGTAGAACCCTATAATGTTGGCATGTCATTTCTATCTTGAAATGTCTCTGTGTCATCTGTGTAATAAGTACTTGAAAATAATTCTTCATATATCACAAGTATTAGAAACTTTTTACGAACAAAAATTAATTTTGAAGAATCTTAAGACAATATTATGCTGTACTGGGTGATTGTTTCAAAAAAAAAAAAAAAATTGGGTCCCTAAGATTGATTTTGTGTCAATGTGTTTTAAATGACCTAATTTTTTCCAAGGAACAATTCTTGAAGCTATATTATATAAAGGGAAGACAGCTGTAACTTCTATCAGATATTTGCCTACTTTATTAAAACATTAACATGAATCTAAATTTTGATATTATGAAAAAATAGTCATGATACTCTTACAGTGAAGATTTTGTATAACAACAATTTTAAAGCAAAATTGGATTGATCTCTGCATGGTAAGCTGATAAAACTCTAAAAAAAACTGGTGAAGGGTGGACTTCAGAAGTGACATTACAGTCATAACTTAGCAGCTCAAATGACTAAAGCATTTATGTCAGATTTGGTCATGTCAACACATTATCCAGTTATTTTTATACTCAGCCTATCTAAAACCATTTCATACTTATATTCAATAGCAAAAGTTGGAAAACATTTACACACCAAAAAGGTTTTGATTCATTTCATTCATATAAAATACTTTTTAAAACTTTTCCCTTTAATGTCAACATCATCAATAATATAGGTCTCTTAAAAGATAATCAGTTTCCCTCTTAATTCTCAGGTAACAAATTAAAAACTTTTACCAACAAAAATGAAAAAAATAGCATTCTTTGGTTTCATACTATTTTCTTAGCAGTTTTCAATTTACCCAGATATCCATAATTATTAGAATGTCCCTTGTAAGTAATAATCAACTCTTTCCTGAGTACTAAAGTTCTAAGGATTAAGTTTATAAAATTTATAACTATTATACTATAAAACAGCACCATGTTCACAAACCAAAAAGTGTCATTTACTCAGAATCTTACCAACTGTCAACTATAAATTTGTTACATAAATGACAGCAACACTTAATAAAGTACCAAAAATGTAACAGTAGCTCAAGGACAATTTGAAACTTGCTTTTTTGAGAAGTATTTGATAAATGATGTTAACACACTATAGCCACCTGGGTTTCTCATACTTAAACAGAAATCAAGATGACAGCTGAATTAACTGTTTGATAACTGCCCAGGAAAATATGCTGAAGCTGTAGCTGGGAGCACTGCAGGTTTTGATGAGGCATGTAATGTGCCTAAGGTGGCATCTTTCTGATGGTCTGCACATGAGAACAAAAAAAACAAGATTGGAGTTCACTTAAATCCTTATCCATTCGAGTAAGCCAAAACATACAAAGTCTATTTCAGAAATGTCTTCTCACCTGGATTATTAAATAGATTCTGACTGAGCCCACGTAAAGGAATGCTATCTTCCCTTTTCTTCAGATATTTGGATTCCAGCCCCAAGTTTTCTCCACTTAAGAAGAAAAACAATAACTTACTTTAATATTTTCTCTTTAGTAGTTAATTTTAAAGGTTTATCTAATGTAGAAGAAAATAAAGTTATACTTAATAAACATATATAACTTCAAAATAAATCACATTTTCCACTGGTATCTTTAACGAACAATTTATATATAAACAAAGTACCCTTCTCCTTAGTAAAGAGAACATTATTGTGATTCAAACTAAAAATTCTAAGAGCTGGGATAAGGACTGGTGGGGAAAAGAAAATTCTACAATTATAATAAATTTGTAATAGCATAAGTGAGAAATGAGACAAGAATATTTATATACATGCCTTAAAAACCAATGTCATTCTGTTTAAAATCATATAAGATATCCTTTTCCACAGACCACTTGCTCTTCAAAATTTTATAGTGCTTCAAAGTTATCCAAAAATGCAAATATGTAATAATGAACTCTGATCAGATGAACATTTGGATTTTAGAAAAATAATGTAATTTCTACAGTTGTTATTATACTATTCCTTTTTAAATTTAACTGTATACTCATAAGAAGTGAAAGGTTCTTGCAAAACAAAATTATACCCTTCAAATTCAACGGTGGCTTCACAATTTTCAGAAAATGAAGTTGGTGAATGGCGTGCTTTTTTAATTTTAATTTAATCTTTTCTTTAACTCTGATACAGCCACTGTTACTTGTTACTAGTTACTAACAGAAAAAAAATAGCTGACTGTCCCAAGTTTTATGGACATAGGATTATGCTTGATTTTATAGCAAATAGAGATCACCGTATTTTCTGCTAGTAAAATTGGTCTTCGTTTATGACGGAATTCAGTGAGTAAACAGTTTTATAGTTTCCTACCATGTATATGAATTCCAGATCTGCTTCTTGAACAAATGAGAGATTAAGTAAAAAATACATACATTTCAGAACTTCAAAAATTCTGGCCATTTTTCAAAACGGAGGCTCACAAATAGTGTTTAATCAGACGATCATATCTGACCAAACATTACAGAGTTAGCATAAGGAGTCTCTGGGATATGCTACTAATTTTAAATGGGACAGTGATACAAAAAAAGCCATGCTAATGAGTGCCAGCAGACAGCTCTTTAAACCATGAAATTTTATATAAAGCATAAAAATATTAAAATCGTTAAGTAGAATACTCAGACAAGTTTGCATGTATGACATATTTTAGCCATAAACTTCACTATGCAAACCCTGTAAAACATCTGAGCAGGCAAAACATGTCACAAACTGACATTATACTTACTATGGTACATATAAAAGCCTTTTAGTCGTATTTGTCATGTAATTCTGGCTGGTTGGATAAGGTTTTTTGAATATTTAACACTGGAAACAATAAATAGGGAAAAATGGAGTTCCCAGAGATAATCACTCATACAGAACCACCACTAAAAATGCAATTGACTACAAAGAATTAAAAAATATTTACCTGCAAGCCTATAAAGTGGGTATGGTATAGCCATCCTTCATGGGACATACAAAATTATCAATTTAAAAATTAGCCTTGCTTTATTTGGTTAAACAATCAACTCATCCCTAATGTGCTGGCTGGAACTGCAGTTGTCTTGGCAGGGTCAGACCAAATGATTCTACAGGCCTTCTACAGGCCATGAGCTGGACGTTCCCCAACCCCTGCTGTAATGGAACCTTGGTAGCACAGTGGGTTACGCATTGGGCTGCTAACCGCAAGGTCAGAAGTTTGAATCTACAAACTGCTCTCTGAAACAAAACAGGCTTGTTGCTCCCATAAATATTTATGGTGCTGGAAACCCTGTGGAGGGTCACTATGAGTTGGAACTGACTCCTCAGCACACAACCAACACCATAAGCCTATAAATGTTTAAAAAGACAATCTTCAGGAAGTACTTACTTTTCCTTATCAGTTAAACATGGTATGTTAATAGTTGCTCCTGACTGAACCTCTACAGATGTATTTGGTTTTGTAAACGGCAAGTTAAACTGTACCTGTGAAAAGAGGAAAAGTAACTGAATTACCGAAAACAGGCTGATTTTTTCAAAAGTACAAAGTCAAGCATTTCTTCCTAGTTTCTTAGTCTGAAAACTCAGCTGAAGCCTGCTCAGCATCATTGCAACATGCAAGCTCCCCGACAGCAGGGAGGTGGCAGTATTTGAGGTGCAATGGCTGGATATCAACCCTGGGTCTCTTGTATGAAAGGTGAGAATTCTAGCACTGAACCACCACTGAGTGCCCCATACTGATATAAAACCAAATTCCATACCAGGTGCTGACTTACAGCAGCCCTACAGTGTTTCCAAGGCTATAAATCTTTATGGATGCAGACTGCCACATCTCTCTGCCACAAAGTGCCTGGTGGGTTTGAACCGACTACCTTTCAGATAGTAGCCAAGCTTTTGATCACTGCGCCATCAGTGCTCCCTCATATTGATGTTGTTAAGTGCCATCAGATCAGTTCTGACTCACAGTAACCCTATCTAGGGTTTTCAAAGATTGGATGGTGGGTTTGAACTGCCAACCTTGTGGTTAGCAGTCCAATACGTACCTTACAGCACTAAACTAGGACTCCACGTTGATATGGGTAGTTAAATATTTATTCTGAGAAATTCAGACCATGAAAACTAAGTTCAATCTAGTTTTTAATACTCAAAGTACATTTTATTTTTTTTTTAAAAAGAGTCCTATTTCTCCTTGTCATACAAGCAAGTTCCTTGGTTACGAGCAAGAAGACTGTTGTTAAATACCATCGTGTCAGTTCCGACCCATAGTGACCCTGTATAGGGTTTCCAAGGAGCGGCTGGTGAGCTTGAACCACTGACCTTGTAGTACTAATGACTTTGCAGTTCAGCGCATTAACCCACAGAGCCATACCAGGACTCCTCTTAATTATTTTGAAACACAGTGATTGAAAAATATAAGCATTAATATATTCATATAAGTGTTACACTATTAAAAGTAACCAAGTACTTTTAAGCTGCATTCATTTACCCCAATACAATTCTGAGAACTCTTGGTTTTTTAAATCATTTTCAACGTATAGGGATTTTGAGAGCAGCTGGTGGGTTTGAACTGCTGACCGTGCTTATCCTACATTACCACAACAGTGGTGGTGGTGGTGGTTGTATGCCGCAGAGTCAGTTCCAATTCATAGTGACCCTGTGTAGGGTTTCTGAGGCTGTAATTTCTAATTCTGAACACAGTTTATTATTAATGATGCCATTTAGGGAGCACTTACCAGCTATCAAGGTACTATTCTAGGAAATGCATTGACTCATTTAACCCTCACAAGAATCCATTTTACAAATGGGAACACTGAAGAACAGAGAGTTATTATCAGGATGCTATTTGTTTTTGCTTGTTTTGTAGTGGCTTGTCCACTATTACACTGTTAGTGGCAGGGTTTAAACCATAAGATCCAAACACCAAACACACTTTCTTAACCACTAATTGTCAAGAACTTCATTCTTCTTGGATCAACTATCAACACTCATGAAAGCAGCAGTCAAGAAATCAAACGACGTATTGCATTAGGTAAATCTGCTGCACAAGACCTTTTTAAAGTATTGAAGAGCAAAGACGTCAGCTTGAGAACTGAGGTGCGCCTAACCCAAGCCATGGTATTTTCAATAACCTCATATGCATGCGAAAGGTGGACAGTGTAATAAGGAAGATCATAGAAGAAATGATGCCTTTGAGTTATGGTGTTTGAGGAGAATATTGAAGGTGTCATGGACTGCCAAAAGAACCAATAGATCCGTTTTGGAAGAAGTGCAGCCAGAGTGCTCCTTGGAGGCCAAGATGGCCAAACCTCGTCTCTTATACTTTGGACATATTGTTAGGAGGGACCAGTCGCTGGAGAAGGATATCATGTTTGGTAATGTGGAGGGTCAGAGAAAAACAGGAAGAGCCCCAATGACATGCACTGGCTAAGGAGCAGCATCGATGGACTCAGCGTGGCAACAGTAGTGAGGCTGGCCCAGGATCGGGCAGGCTGTGTGTTTCGTTCTACTGTACATAAGGTCGCTATGAGTTGGTACCAACTTGATGGCACCTAACAACAACAACAATCTATACTGCATAGTGGTTATGAATCGGGTTGCTAATCTCACAGTCAGCAGTTCGAAACTGCCAGCTATTCTGTGGGAGAAAGAGGCTTTCTACTCCAATAAAGATTTACAGACTTGGAAACCCTGTACAGGGTCACTATGAGCCGGAACCGACTCTATGGCACATAACAACAACAACAATCTATACTGCACGAAATATAGTATAGCTCAGCAATATAGACATATAATTCATGAATAAATAAATATACATGTATTGGAGGTTCAAGTTCCAAATATTTTGGTTTTTTTCACTATAAAGGTCTGACTAAAAAGAAGTACTTGCGTAAGCAACTTAATAGCCAACTGATTCTTACAGTAGCCAAGAACTAATTTGGTAGAGTTTATAAAACTAATTTTAAAGTCTTAAATTTTATTTTTTACTAAAATATTATTTTAAAAAGTATTTGTCTCCACAATTTAGCAAAACAAAACAAAAGCAACAATATGTACCTGAAGTTGGGAATAAAAGAAAGATCAGTGACTAGTGTGGGGAGAGTAGTAAAACCATAAATTAACTGTTAAAAACAAAATAAAAATCTAAGACATCAGTAATGATAATGATGATAAAGAATTAAAACGAATAGAAAAATGCCTTAAAAAATGTATCCAGAGCTGGAGCGACTTGTAGCATGATATTTTAGAGACTGTTACCTGACTGTTCTTGTAATGTGCCATGGAGTCGGGTCCAACTCATAGCGACCCTGTACAGGGTTTCCGAGGCTGTAAATCTTTACGGGAGCAGAAAGCCTCATCTTTCTCCTGTGGAACAGCTGGTAGTTTTGAACTGCTGACCCTGAGGTTCGCAGCCCAATTCGTAACCAGTATGCTACCAAAGCTCCCTGTTACCTGACTACATTTTAGAATTTGCTATAAAACTGCCTAACCAGACTTCTCAATATTGGCCATGCAGTCTAAAAATGTCACCATAGTATAGTAAGCCAGTATTCCTAGGTAGGTTTGACAGTTGTATGAGCGACAAAAAAGAGGAAAAAAGGTAAAGCAATGACAAAAATGGAGAGGCTAAGTGGAAATAAGTAAGGTTAGGTAGTTTAATGTTCAGTTTCTCACAAATTGGAGTCCTGATATGGCTCTGTAGGATAAAGCACTGGACTTCAAGGTGGATTTGAGCCACAAAGTCGGTGATTCAAACTCACCAGTTGCTCCTTGGAAACCCTATACAGGATTACTGAGTTGGAACCAACTCAATGGCACTTAACAACAAAAAATGATATGCAGTACATTATTATATTTCCTGTAAGCATATCTACTGGTCAATAATATTCACTAAAGATGAATACTCAATAATGTATCTATTTAATTGTTATCTAATACATAGCAGCAAATAAAAAAATAGATGAATTTTTTTAATAACGTTGAAAGTATTTTTTATACATGAACAATTTGTTATATTTTTCAAAAAAAGAGCATTAGTAATTTGACTACCTTTGGTCCTGAACCTGGATGGATGGCATTTTTGGCAGATATTGGATGTGGAAAGGTATTCTGAAATACAAATGCAGAGGACACAGGATAACCACAAGATGGGTAAGTCAGTCTACCATCAACCTAAAAATGAAAACAAAAAAAGAAGAAAGATGAGAAATCAGTTCTAATCAGTATTTGTTGATCCTAAAGGCATCAATAAGGAGCTCTGGTAGCGTAGTGGTTACGAATCGGGCTGCGAACCTTAAGGTCAGCGGTTCGAAACTACCAGCTGCTCCGCGGGAGAAAGATGAGGCTTTCTACTCCCGTAAAGATTTACAGCCTCGGAAACCCTGTACCGGGTCGCTAAGGGTCGGAACCGACTCGATGGCACACAACAACAACAACAACAAAGGCATCAATAGTTAATAACACTCAGCAGCCAATTTTATCTGTCATGACACAATAAAACCTTAGTTTAGTATATAGCATAAGACTGGGATGCTTTTGGCCTAGTAGGCTTTTCAGTGTCTGGGCAAGCTTAGAGAAAACAAATCACTGTGTCTGCCTTTGAAATGAATTAAAGGCCTCTGAACTGTCATTGCTTCCTCTAGGCCTTTTATTCCTAAAATGAGGTTAGGGAGAATCAAAGATAAAGAGGCCAATCAGAAATGAAATGGTTTTCTGCCAGACGGAGTAAAAAATAGATCTAGTTGAGACAATGATTTGCTTTGCCACTTAATTTTCAATATAAAGACATCAGTAAGAGCCAATGTCATAGAACAAAGTTCATTTTTATAAAAGGCCAATTTAAACACAAATGTTGATAGGCAACTATACACATCGGTGGCACATGGTAAATATACAGTTTGTTCTGCTACTTATCACAAAAGTTAAACGTGTCAAGTGTTATCAAGTTTACAATTCAGTTCCAAGAACTTTTTTAAAATTTAAAACAATCCTTCTTTAGACATCTGGTGCTACCTGATTTACTAAACATTCAATTAGGCATTTGAATTTTAAACCCTCTGTCAATGCCCTCCAGTCAAAGACTACCAGGAACTCACCTGTAGGTGAACAAACTGGCATTATTGCTCCTTGAAACGAGGATGCCTACACAACACGGGGAAGTTGGGGTATCTCAATAAGTGGGTGTTAAAAGTGAATTACAGAATTTAGGTTCATGTTAATGATTTAGGTTGTTGTTGTTAAAGAGTCTTCTGACCCATAGTGACCCTGTACAGGGTTTCCGAGGAATGGGTGGTGAGCTTGAACTGCTGATCTTGCAGTTCAAACCTACTTTGCAATCTAGCCCATTAACCCACAGCACCACACCAGAACTCCAGTGATTTAGGCAGGGGGACTTTGCTCTGGATTGGATGCTGTTAGGCAGTGGTGATAATTTTCTGACTGGATATCTTAATTAATCTTTAGGTGAAAGGAATGTTATTAAAGACAAAGCTGAAATTATTAAAGAGGCAGAGTCATTATATTAGCCAGGATAGAAGGATACTTCATTATTTTTTGTGGTTTGGCATGTGTTTAGACATGATTATGAAGTTTTATTTATATCTTGATCCATCAGTCACAGAATGGCCTTGCTTGATGTTGATGTTCTGTGAAAATGTTGATGTTCAAGAGGAAAACAGCAAGGCCTAGTTTCAAATGTCAGGCTAGTTCCCGGATGAATTAAGGAATTGCTTTTCTCGTTCTCTTATTTACTAAAAGCAGGAGGCCGAGAAGCGACAACTAGAAAGCCTGTATCTCATAATCCTTTCCTATCAGATTCTAGAAGGAGTTTTGGTAGCATAGTGAGTACGAGTCAGGCTGCTAATCTCAAGGTCAGTAGTTCAAAACTACCTGGGCTCCACAGGAGAAAAATGAGGCTTTCTGCTCCCGTAAAGATTTACAGCCTTGGAAACCCTATACAGGGTCACTATGAGTTGAAACCAACTCCACGGCACATAATCACCACCACCATCACCACCTGATACTAGAAGCCACAAACATGCCAACAGGGTTCCCAACATTCTTCTTCTGAGAGCATTCAGTTTAGGTTCCTTCCTTGAATCCCCAAATATTCCTGAAGTCTCCTGAATGCTTATATATGTTTAAAGTTTTTCAGCATATCTGGCAGTACATTAATTAGTACTAAATGATTTCAATATCCATTAAATAGGCTTACAAAAAAGTGTCTTCATAAGTACAGCCTCTTTGTTAAGAGCAAGTACAATATGGCTACATCCCATTTCTAGTAGCAACTTATACACTAAGTGATAATTGTAGAATCCGACTTATACTAGTACCCACACCTTAAGTTATGCAGATTTCTTAACACTCTGGGAATACTTCTGTTTTAGCATATTGAATGAGCCACTCACATCTTAATTTGAATCTTACCACATTAAGGTTAGGAGAAATTCCACTTCTGATTGTGTTACTGCTAGAATGTATAGGTGGAGTGGTAGAAGGTACCAATGCATCTTGCTTTCTCACTAGTTGGTTTTCATTTAGTTCTTTATTTAGCCACGTGATTACTAAAAAGAAAAACACATTAGGATTTTATTTTACCATTTTGATTTTTATAATCACTTTAAACATTTAACCTGCCTGGACGGGGCTGGTGAAAGGAGATGGGAATAAGACTCTTGTGGTTCAATAGTGGACAATTGCTATCAGGACTGACTGTGAGAGTTGTAAATGTAAAGGTAGATGTTTTGTAACAAAAAGAGGGGCGTGGTTATTTTGCAGTCCAGGAGTGGAGGACCCTGGGGCCATCAAGGGAGAAAAGCAGAGTGTGGGACCTTATCCACAGAAGCAGGGATCCCTCCCAGAGATGGAGGTAGAGACGATGACTTGGAGAGATGGAGTGGCTGGGACTTTGGACTCAGGGAGGAAGAGGGGCTGTGTGCTGACAGCCAGGGACAGGCTTGTAGGGTACACCCTTTGGTTGCTTGATGATTCATGGAGAGGACTGTAATCATTGCAATGAAATGAAATATGATAGGATGAATATAAAGCTGATGTTCTCCCATGTAAACTATCACCCAATTCACATTAAAAACTTTAAAAAAAAAAAACTGAATTGAGATTTTAAAACTACCTTAACCTTATGTTGTAAGGACCAAACTGATTTTGCCTACCTAGAAACTGCTTGACTAAACTCTAGTCAGGCTCAGGAAAGCATTTTAAATAGACAAGGCCTCAGTTATTAGTTCCCTCCAGAGGCAAGGTCAATCTCCATTCTGTACATTAGCCTGAACACGTACTCTAGCTCCAAGAATATGATATATGTATAAATAGCCAGGCAGCTCAAGGCCAGAGGCCAGATGTTTTCCTTTACCCTAGCCTAAGAACAAAGACCACCAGTCCTGACCAATTAAACTGTAACATCTCATAGTTTGCCAATTGTTAACCAATCCAAAGATTGTAAAGCTGAGAAACCTGAGCTGTTTGAAAATTCTATAAAAACCCTGCAGACAATGAATTCGGGGCTCTTTCCCTATTCCGAAATGTCGGATAAGGTTAGAGACCTGGCTCGAGCTTGATTAAACAACCCTTATGTATTTGCATCGGTACACGGCTCCTGGGTGGTCTTTGGGGACCCTGAATTCTGGGCATAACAATGTCACTAAAAAACAATACATATTAGCTGTTTGTCATGATGCCAATATTTTTATACTTTTAAGTTTGGGTTATGGACACAAAGGATATGGTTTTCTTTAGAATAATAAATGTTTACTATAAGGCAGATGATAACAGTTTACTATAGCTAAGACATTAAGACAATATATTTAAAGCAAAGGTTATTTGTATATAGTAAATATTTACCTAGAGACTTTTATGAATTCAAATAAACATTTTCAGGTTTGAAATGAAACTAAAACCTCATTTACATAAACTTTAGCATACTTACACTTTTCATTATTTTTCAGAATCTGTTTGCTTTCTTCAAGTTTTTGAACTGCAGCTTCTAATTGTTCTTGTAATCTGCATACCTGAAATATGTTAATCCTCACAATAAATCAAATACAATAAAGGCTAAAATAAAAACTAAAGAAACTAATTATTATTAATTGACTACTAGTTATTAAATGAAAATAAAGAAATTAGTTCAAATATGTTAATAAAATAATGTACGCATATGTGGTGGTGGTTATGCCATGGAGTCGATTTTGACTCATAACAACCCTGTATAATGTTTCCAAGGCTGTAAATCTTTAGGGAGCAGAAAGCCTCATCTTTCTCTCGTGGAACAGCTAGTAGTTTCAAACTGCTGACCTTGAGGTTTGCAGCCCGATTTATAACCACTACGCTACCAGATTTCCTTATGCATATGTAGATATGCATATATATGCAAATGTATTCAAGTCATAACTTTAAAACTCAAATAGGTTATTAACTTCTGTTGAATTTAATCACATAATCTTTTATTAAAACACAGATCATGCATTCTGTAACTTAAAGCAGAAATCAAAAAAATATACTTTGTAAACAAAAAACACACAAAAAATATTAAATACCTCTTGCTCTTTAATCCGGAGAGACTGTCCAACATCTTGTAATTCCTTTTGTTCCTTTTGCAATTTTTCTTCCTTCTCAGCCAAGAGTTTTTCTTGCTGAATAGTAACAGTATTCTTGAGTTTCAATTTACCCATTAAAGTTTTCAGGTCCCCTTGTAGCTTCTTGATAATTTCATTTGCCTACAAAACAGCTTCATATGTATACCTCAACATAATCCAATGAAATATTAATCTATTAAAATATTTTTAAAAACAAACCTTAAGAAGTTCCGCTGATAATGATTTTATTGTCGCTTCTAGTTTCTCTAGTTGCACCTGACTTTTCTCTCCCTTTTCTTCTAAAGCCACCTGATAAAAAAATTTAAAAACATGAATAATTGGGAATTTGTGTTTGTTGAAGAAAATAAACAGTTGTAAATTGATCATTTAAGATCATAAATCTTAAAGAAGACCTTTTGTTCCTGGATTGTATCAAATGCTTCTTTTGTTCTTAAAACAAGCTGGTCCTTATCCTTGATTTCCTGTTCTAAAACAGCCACTTTTGTTTGTAGCTGATTAATATGCTTTTCTTTCTCATGGCATTCAGCATCTAAGGTAGAATTCTCTCTACGTAAAGAGAGGACTTCTTGTTTAGCACGCTGAAGCTCCTAGAGATACAAAAAAAAAAAAAAAAAAAAATGCTGAAATGATATATTACGAAAAAAGGATACTGGCTGGTAATCTTATGTATAATTAAGCTGTTTAAAATATGAAACAATGTCAGTAACAATTTTAAAGTCTAATATGAGGGCGCTTCAAAAAGTTTGTGGAAAAATGGAATTAAATTGACACTTTATTATAATAAGTTTCAAAATACAAGTGAGTCACAAATCAAGTTTTTAAAAGCCCTATCATGCCACTATTTTAGCACTGCTTCTCAAACTCTGCAAATTGGAATCACCTGGGAAACTTTCAGAATTACTAATGTCTGGTTCCCCAAGAGATTGTTATTCAATTAGTGTAGGTTATGGCATAGGCCTGAGAACTTTCACAAGCTCCCAACAGATTCTGAACAGTAACCATGACCTAGAGTCAGCCAATTATTTTTCTGTTACTTATATACACCAATTTTTTTCTCTAAATAGATTCACAGTTTTATAATTTACTTTCTTCATATAATACATGCTGTTGTTAAGTGCCGTTGGTTCCTATGCATAGTGACCCTGTGTAGGGTCCAAGGAGCAGCTGGTGAGCTTGAACTATCAACCTTGTGGTTGAAAGTGACTTTTCAGTCCAGCGCATTAGCCCTTAGCGCCACACCAGGAGTCAATGTAATACACGAGAGGGCTTCAAAAATTCATAGAAAAATGGAATTAGAAAACAAAGGGATTTTTTTCCATGAAAGTCTGGAAGCCCGCATGTATTGCAAATATCTTTTCATGCCAATAAATATGGTATCATTTCTAGATTTCCTTTTGATTCACTTTTTAAACAGCAACCCTGTATAGGATTTCTGAGGCGTGGCTAGTGGGTTTGAAATGCCAACTTTGAGGCTAGTAGTCCAGTGCTTATCCTACAACGCCACACACCAGGACTCCAAACAAAGAATAACTGCTAATTAAAACTAGATTTTTTCATATTTCTAGAATATATCACTTTTCAACCAGCTAATACTAACCCAAATGCTGCTAGTACAAAAAAATCCAGTAAGTAGTATTCCTAGATAGCTTGGAACAAAACTCTAAAATATATTTTAAAATACTCTAAGAATGGCTTTTGAAGTCACACTGACTTTAACCCAAATTCTGGCTCTTACACTAATTGTAATCTTGGGAATTACTCTCCCTAAATCTCAGCTCATCTACAAAATAGGAATGAAAATATATAATTCATGAAAACTCTTATAAAAATTGCTTAGCATATTGCCTGGCACATAACAGTAATAAGCTATAAATGGAAACAATTACTATTTGTAAGGCACAAATGCCTTGACACCCTGATGGTACAAATGGCAAAGTATTTGATTCCTAGCTGACTAGATGCGATTTTAATTACACAGCGGCACCTCAGAACACAGGCCAAGTGATGGACATCTGAAAGGGCACGGCCTTGAAACACTACACAGTTTTACTCTGCACACACACGACTGCCTACGTTAGAATCAAATCAGTGGCAACTAATAACAATGTCTTAAATTAAACCAAGTTCCCAAACTCACAAACTGACATGAGTCTTATACAAACATAATACTTTGGTTAGATTACATGAAAATTAAAACAACCAAGTACTCTGTTTATATACTGGCCAGGTTCAGGGCTAAGACAGAAGAAATCATCATTATAATAAAGCATTTAGACTACCAAATGTTATGTAGACTGAAGGGTTGGAAGGAATAACAAAGGATATCTATGTTATGAGGACTTGAACATATAATACCAGAAAAAACAAAACCATACCCAAGGCCATCGAGGTGATTCCAACTCATAGCAACCCTAAATAGCGTTTCCAAGACTCTGAATCTTTATTGGAGCAGACAGCCTCATCTGTCTCCCACAGAGCGGCTGGTAGGTTTAAAGCACTGACCTTGTGGTTAGCAGCCAATGATTAACTCACTGCACCACCAGGAGTTGTGCAGAAGTCTTGTGAGCAACAAACAGTGCTAGTGAATGTATTTAAATATGATAACAAAATCTACATAAATATTTTTTTCTGAAAAACCATACAAAAATACTGTCATCAGGAAAGACCAACTGCTAGAAAAAGACATGATGTTTGGTAGAGGGTCAGTAAAAAAAATCTATCTGAGAATCAGGAAAACCTCAAATAGACTGAAGGACACAATAGCCAAATGGAGCTCAAACATATCAAAGGATCATGAGGCTGATACACATAACAGGGCAATGTTTCCTTCTATTTATACATAAAGGGAGCCCTGGTATGACACTATAGGATAAGCACTGGACTGCAAGACACAAGGTCATTGATTCCAACCCATCAGCCATTCCTTGGAAACCCTATTCAGAATTACTTTAAGTTGGAACGGACTCCCTGACAATCAACAGCAACATACATAAAGTATAATAAAACCTACTTGGTAGCAACTAACAATATTGCTAGGGAGGAATCTATCACTACCATGCCAAAGCATCAAGTGATCATACTACCATAAAACATCTTTTGCAGAGATAGCATCCAGAAATACCACTATAGCAAAATTAAAAAAAAATTCCTCTTTGACCTAAGAGAGCAAGATAGTACTTATGACAAGCAAATGAAAGATAAATTTTAATTCTTGCTCTGTCACTGACTATATGATCTTGAGCAAGTTATTTAACCTCCATGTGCTTTACTTAGTTCTATCATCTGTGAAATGTGATTAATAATAGTACTTACCTTAAAGAACTGTTGGAACAATTACATGAGTTCATATATGTAAAGCCCTTAAAACAGTGCTTGTTACGTATCAACTGCTAAGTAAGTGTTAGAATTATCACTGGACACTAAACTTCATATGGATGGCTGATACGCTGAGTAGGCTAAGGGGATGAACCTGCTTGGTTAATACCGAATACCCTATAAGATATAGACACTGAAAATCTGAGGGCTGTGCCAATTAGTTGCTGCTCAAGACTCAAATTTCTGTTTTGAAGTAGGCTTTTTATCAGATTTCAATTTCTCAATTTTCTCTACACTGTTTGATTATCTAACACACAAGAAATTCTTGGATGGTTTGCATCCAGGAAAAGACCACTCATACAAGCAATAAAGTAACTTTGATCAAATCAAAACATTAAGATTTAAACTAATAAAAAACCAAAAATCCATCACTGAGTACCTCTTCAACTCCAGAAAGTTTTGCTTTAAGTTCTCTGATAGTGGAGTCTCCTTTATATTTCCTTTCAGTTAGATCTTTATTAGACGCTTCTAACTCAGACAGTCTGTTTTGCAGCTGGTTGATGTTTCTTTGGTGAAGGATTTCTAAATCTTTTTTCTGTTGCTCATGCTGCTGCTGATATTGAACCTGTGCCTATCATATAATAAAAATATGATGCCAAAATTCAAAGACAAAAAAAACAAAAAAACAAATATAAATAAAGGATTTGAAGGTAAAAAAGGTCTGAATTCTATTTCATAATTATTAAGTTTCCCTATTTTGAAGAGGACCCATTTTCAATCATGGATTTCATAATGAAGTAGTGTCAACAAAGGCAAATTTACCACTGTGATCTTATTCTAATTTCTATTTCTCATAATCTTACTCATATTTAGAAAAAAATGGTCTTCAAGTTAAGGGAAGAATATGATTAAAGAAAAAAATCAAACTGCAGAAAAGTATATATAACATGAAGTTATTTGTGGGTTTTTTTTTTTTAAGAGAGAAAACCATGAAAGGAAATTTTGGTTAGTGCTTTGAACACAATTCAGTTTTTTATAACCACTGTGTATTACTTTTATAATCTGAAACTGTCTTCTGAACAGTATTTTTGCTGTTACCTTAATCTTATACTTAGTAGCTACATCGAACCAACAATAAACTCGAATAGGATTGTGACTTTGTCACCTCTAGTGTCTGTCTGAGTCATACCACAAACAAATAGGCATAATTTTTATTTGATGAATATTATCATCAGATCCTAAATACTTAAAAAAAAAAATACATATGTGAAAAATACAAATAACCTGTAATCTCATCCAAGAGCTTACTCTTAACATTCAGAATTATTCTCTTCCTATGCCTCAGAAACCCTGTTCAGGGTCACTATGGGTCATAACTTACTCGATGGCACTTAACAAATAATTTATATAATTAGATTAGTATTACTAGCGCATACACACACAGATATAAATTTAAACTTATCACATTAAGAGCAAACTATTAGACAGTATTGACTAATTTAGCAGTAGTACCTTCTCACATAAGGAGCTCTGGTAGTGTAACGGTTATGAATTGGGCTGCTAACCTCAAGGTCAGCAGTTCAAAACTACACAGCCCTGGAAACTCTGTACAAGGTCACTATGAAACAGAACTGACTACTCCACGGCACACTACCACCACCACCTTCTCACATCATTAAAAACTATACATATACTTTAATAGCTACAGGTTACCTTCCCATGGCTATTCCATGATTCATTTAATCTCTCCTCTACTATGAATATTTATAATTATATACACTATGAGAAGTTATTTTGTGTAAACACAAATGGCTTACAAATTCTGTTAATACATCTGTCTTTAAGCTGAATTTGTATGTAAGTCAGAACACCTGAGTATGGTTCTTATCTAACCTGTTAGTCAAATGTTTATCTTAGAATATCGTATACCTTCCTAATGCATAAAAACATTAAAGGAACACTTCAACGTACACTGAAACATCCTTAACATAATAATACAATAATAATGTGATATGTGTCTCAAAATAGCATATCTGTCTGTTATTACAAACCATTGTACAAACCAGGCAATCTCGTGTTAGGAACGTCTGATGTACAAACAACCGGTATTTATGAACCTACACCAAAGACAATAATCACAGTGGAAATGGAAAAAGAAGTTTAAAAGACAGCAGATTCAAATGTTTAAAACTAATTCTATCATGTCTTCAGGGAAAAACAAATTCTTCATTATCTGACTATTTCAAACCATAGAGTCAACTGGAAAATATGCTCATTTATCTCGTGCTGAGTGTGTAGTGAAGAATTAACCTTACCAAAAAGAAGTCTTGCATTTGTGCTCACTACTGGAAAGTGATCACTAGACCCCTGGAGTGTCCTCATGATAAGGATGACTTTGCTAGGAATTTGGTCACCAACTAGTCTAATAATATAATGATTTATAATGAAGGTTTCGAGCCACAATGTATCAGTTCTGACCTCCAGAGGAGACTAAAGGCATTGGTTTGACCCCAAAAGAAACTCTGGACAACAAAGGCTTAGGTGAGTTTGTTGTTATTAAGTGCTGTCGAGTTGATTCCTGTACAGGGTTTCCAAGGCTATAAATCTTTACCGGAGCGGAAAGCCTCATCTTTCTTCCGCAGAACAGCTGGTCGTTTCGAACTGCCGACCTTAAGGTTCACAGGCCGATTCGTAATCACTATGCTACCAAAGCTGGTTGGTAATGCTCTGTATATTGTTGTACATAGTGACCTGCAGGAAGTGATGTATGATTCCACGAGATAGAATGACTCAGCATTTGGACCCCTTCTAGATTCTGCCCTATGTGTCTCTCTTCCCTTGGCTCTTATCTTCCAAAAGGTATCTGTTCTCAGCAGCCTAAAAAAAAAGCCCAAGTAATGAATTTAAGATACAAGAAAGGTAGCATTTCAAATTATTGGGTAAAGATGGCAATGTTAAAGAGTATATGACAAAAAATTTGCAACTCATACTGTATACCACAATAATATATTCCAACCCATTTAAAGAAAAGTACAATTAGAAAATTATAAAAGGATTAGAAGGAAATTATTAGAGTACATTTTAAAAATAAATTTGGACTGAGAAAGCTTTTCCAAATGCTTAATGAAATGAAGCATTAAGAGATATAGGAAAAGACTGACAAGTGTTATAACATTCAAGTTAAAAGAACTATATATTAAAAAGATTGCTGGGTAAATGGCAAAGGACAGACTGACAGGAATGTTTATAATACAAATATATGACAAAGATTTAATATCCTTACTTTACAACATTAAGAAATGAAAAAGCAAGTCAAAGAGAAATTATGATATAATCTTGATTGTATCTTGATTATATCAGGATTGTATCAAGATTTATCGAAATTTAAAGAGACAGTATAGACATAAAACCAAACGGCCACCACTCGTCTGTCTGTCGTGCTGTGGTGGTTTGAGTTGCTGTGATTATGAGGGCTCTGCCACCGATATTTTAAATAACCAGCAGGGTCACCCATGGTGGACAGGTTTCAGATGAGCTTCCAAACAAAGACAGACTAGGAAGAAAGAGTGACAAACTACTTCCGAATCACTAGTCACTGAAAACTCTATGAATAGCAGAGAAACACTG